TGGGGAATAACGTGAGAGAAGAGAGAGCTCTAAAGAGATTTTGGAGCTTTTTTTTTTTTGGTTACATGGGAAGTGTACGGAGATGGAAAAGAAGAAGAGAGTTTTTTTTGGGGTGGGTGGCAATTTGATTTTTTTTTTTTTTTTTTCTGAAATGGAAAAATTGATCTGAATTTCTTCTCCGTTTCGAAGAAAGGAAAGTTTTCGTTTGGCCCAATAGAAAATTGACATTGTTTTCAGAAGTTTTCTTATTAGAAAAAATATTTTTAATTTAGTTTCGTTATCAAATTACACAGTTGTCTGATGTAACAAGATTCAACTAATAAAATTAACTCACGTTTCGTGTAATTTTTAAATTATATTTTAATTTTAAAAATAAAAAAGAATATTTATAGAATATAGAAATTAAAATTACATTTTTTATTTTTTGAAAAATTCAAAAAATATATTTTTAAATTTTATTTTTGAAAATGAAAATAAAAATTGTTGAAAAATGAAAAAATATAAAATATAAAATATATATTTTTTTTGGCCAATCAATATTAAATATTTTTTACTTTTCATTTTCAAATAAAAATTAAAAAAAAAAGAAAGAGACGGAAAAGGAAATCCAAAGGACAAGAAGGAACCCATAAATACATGGACTGAACCCAAATAATTAATTAAGACTCTATGGCAGTTAGTCTTTGATAGAGAAAATCTAGCATAGTAACAGTTATTTGGCCTTTACATGGTTTGTGTTAAGGATATAATTAATTGAATTTGAGTTGATACAGTATTAAATTAAAATTTAAATTCAATTCAAAATTTGATATTTGAAATTCAGCTTGAATTTGATTGAATTATTTTTAACTCGAACTCGATTTGAAATAAAAATCGAATTATTTAAATTCGCTCAATTAAATATAAAAATAAGTTTAATTGTTATATTTGATAAATACTCAATTATTTATGATTGAGCTCGAGTTTAAAATATTTTATTAATAAAATAATAAAAATATATTAAAATATAAAATATCAGTTAAGCTCGTTAATTATTTGAACCATGTGTAAAAATATTCGAACTCGACTCAATCAATAAGTCGAATTACTCGAATTCAAACTCAACTAAATAATAATCGAATAAAATTCAAATTTTATTCAAGTCAAACTCAAATAATTTATGAATATTAATATATCATTTACACCTTAATTTGTGACGAAAGAAATTCAACACAATAAAAAAAATACCCAATGCTATATTATACTTATCTTAATTTTTAGAACACTTTTGCCTTTTTTTTCAACACTTTTTTATTTTAACTTTTAGTATTACTATTTTTTATTTGACAAAAAAAATCTTGATTTTATTCAGTAAATTCATTTTTTAAATCAATTTAAATAGATTTATTTACAAAAAATCAAATAAATCCATAAAAAAAATTATTTTTTCATATTTTTCAATTGAATTAAAATCCAAATAACAAAAAACAAAAAAAGCACATTCTTTTTATCATTTAACTCAACAATCCCTAAAATAATTGAAACTTAACTAATTATCAAGCTTCCTTCTTTGTGTCCTTTATTCCCATTCATGCTAAACTTGTCAAGAGTAAAAATCCTTTGATTACCCCTAGTGGTTAAAACTGTTATAAAATCATCTTAAAAATTTTAATCATGAACCAGACTTATAAAATATATAGTTCAAGAGCAAATGAATATTTAAACAGTATTTATTATACTTTTTTAATATATTAATATTTTTATATTGATCTTGCTTTAGTAATATTTTCGTAATATTTAAACTCTAATAATGAAATTAAAAGATTACTACATACCTTTTATATAATATATGTTAAAAAGTTAATAAATTAATATAATAAATAAAAATATGATAATATTCTAATTTCTTCCTTGGAGTTTAAACTCCACATTGGTCTATAAAATAATAGTTCATATTTAAATGCATATATGTTTTAAAATTTAATTTAATGATAAAGACAAAAGTCTTCAGATAATTAAGTTACATAATTAAATTCGATCTTATTTTTTTAATTATGTTGAATTTTTTATTTTTATGTTATTTATATATTTATTTATTTGAATTTGAAGAATTTAAATTTTGAATTATATTTTTTTAAATAAAAAATCATATATCAATTATTAAATCAAATACTGCAGTACGATAATATTTAATATTAACTTTTTTGCTTGAAAGGAAAATTTCAAACTATTCTTTGAAGGAGACTTACACATATTTATCATTAAATTAAATATTCGAGTTGTACAAATAATTTCATAAGAAAACCAATAAGTGGTTGCTTTAATTGGTTAAGGGTCATCCTTTTAGACTAATAGGTCTTGGATTTGAGTCCTGTCGATGATCACTTGTTGAAGTTATTTTGGATGTACAATTTACAGCCACCTGTATTAGGTTGTCAAATACATCATATCTTGCCTTGATCTGAATGATTGAGCAGTTTATTTGTCATCGAATTTTTTTTTAATCAAAGAAAAAATTTCATAAAAAAGATATGAGAACATTTTTTTTTCTCTTTAGTACATTTAACTATAAAAAAAATTCAATAAATAGAACATGTTAGAAAGTTAATAAATTATATATAGTATAAAACAAGAGACATGCTTTCCAAATAAAGTATATGATATAGAAAACTAGAAAAGGTTTTAAATAAATGGGAGGAGCTAAAATGTTAAATTCCAAATAAACTTTTTATTAGGTCATGTAGGATTTGATTACTTTGATAATAAAGTATAAGATTTTTATTTTTATAATTGTTTTTTATATGTTAGAATAATTACCACGTAATATTCTTAAAATTCTTGTGATCTTTTTTACAAATTTAAATTTTGATTACTAAAATTAAAAGTATAATATTTTTTAATAAATCACGCAATTATTGACGGTTCTTGTAAAATTGTTAGAAAAACAAACTCCAACATATGCATATAAGAACTTACCAATTTGATAAATAAAACTCTAAAGAATTGTTTGCACTTTGGATCTTTGACGATGTTAAACTTGTTTTGTCTCTTTGAATTGATGACTTGATAAGATTAAAGCAACTCAATGTAGCAAAACTATATCTAAGTTGAAAGTATCCAAGTAATTCATAGGAGTAAAAAAAAATAAAAATTGCATTGCATTTGAATATTTGATTTAATAATTATTGCATATTTTTATTTAAATTTTTGATAAATTAAATTAAAAAATTAATTTAATATATCATATATCATATCATATATAATATTATATTACAATATACATAAAAATTTGATAAGATTTACTTATGTAAATGTTTAGGTGGACAATCTATATTATTGACATGTAGGATAGTTTTAAATAATTTTATTCAATCAATTATTTAATTTTTAAAAATTTTAAAGTTTCAAAATTTACATTTATCCAAATCTTTTAAAATATATAAGTTTTATCATAATTTAAACATGAAAAAACATATTTTATACCTCACTCTTACTCATATATATGAAATATAAAATTCAAATAGTTTTTAAAGATTAAATCCTTAAATCTTAGGCACCATAAAAAATCAAATATTATCTAAATCAATATTCATATAAATTTAAATAAATAAAATTTATAATTGAATTACTGTATTTACCATTTTGTTATTTTTTTATAATTTAAAATAAAAAAATATTTTATCTCAATTCAAAATTACACATATATCCAAATCTAAAATTATACTAATCTCTTTTATCTTAATTTAAAATTAAATTTGGATAAACTATATTTTTAAAAGTTTATAATTTTTAAAATTAAATAATTATTAAATATATATTTATGATTTTTTCTCACAATAGATAGAGTAATCAGACTTTCATCACAAAAATTTGGTATGACAAAATTTCAAAATCAAACATAAAAAAATATTTCATGATATATCAAATGTCTAAATTTTAGTTTTCATAGTAAAATAATATACACTTTTAAGAGCATATGTAATTATGAATAAGAGATTGACTTTTTCATTGAGATTTATATGTAATTTTATTTTCATAATTCAAAGTTTTCGTAATGCTTATTTGGTAATATTTTCTTTTTCATAAAAGATAGAGTAATCAGATTTTTATCACAAAAATTTGGCATAATAAAATTTCAAAATCAAATATGAAAAAATCTTTCATGATATATCACGTGTGTAAATTTTAATTTTTATATTAAAATAATATATACTTTTAAGAGTGTTATATAATTATGAACAAGATATTAACTTTCTTATTGAGATTTGTATGTAATTTTAGTTTTATATTAAATTTTAGTTTTATACTAAAACCTTTCATGATATATGCGTATGTAAATTTTAGTTTTTATACTAAAATAATATATACTTTTAAGAGTGTATATAATTATGAACAAGATATTGATTTTTTTATTGAGATTTGTATGTAATTTTACTTTCATAATTCAAAGCTTTTATAATGTTTATTTGGATTCTTTCATAATAATTTATATATAGATGGCTTTGATAATTTTAAACTACAAATTATAGATAACTAAGAATATTTTTATTTATTTACATATAATATAAAATTAATATAAATTATAAAAAATATAATAAAAAATTCAGTGTGTGGCATGGGTAAAAAAAATTCTAGTGAATTTATATGTCAATGTTTAATAAATTTAAATTTTAAATATCAATATTTATTATTTCTGTTACTATTTTAAAATGCAGTTGTCTTTGAGAAAAAAAAATTGATAAACTCTTCATTATATAAAAAAAAAATCCCATATTAATTGTTGGGAAACTAGAAGTAAAACTTCAGTTCCACTAAAAGACACACACATAAAAAAAATTTAAAGATCGATTAAAAATTAAAAAAAAAGTATTTGATTTTTGAAACCCTCGATTACTAATTAAGGGTAATAGTATTTTGTTTCAGCAGATCCCAAAGGATTTTCTTTCATCAGGCAATCATCCAAGTAGTTGCATGAAAGAACTTAAAATAGCAAAGACAACAGAAAAAGGAGCAGACAAAGGCCCAAACCAAACTTGAGATATCAAAGGAACAAACTAGGGACAGAACCGGCACTTCACATAAATATATAATCAGTTAAAAAAAGTTCAGTAAAGTTGGAGTGATGTGACACTATGAACACGAAAATTCCTTTCTTTGTTTTGTCTTCGCAGCCTGTCTCCAAGAGCCAACTTCCTAAACTTTGTGTTCTTGCTCCATTTCTACGTTTTCCTTTCCTTCTCTGAAGACAGGTTTCCTTTCTCTCTCTCTTTCTCGTCGTGAAGGAGTTTAGTTTCTTGCTAGAAAGTGTGGTACTTAAATGATTTATGTTATGAATATGTTTTTTTTTGTCTTAAATATAATTAAAACATAGATTTCTTTTCTGGGTTTTAGTTGTTTTGGTTTAATCATAAGCAAATGCTTAAAATTGTTTACAGTTTATGTTCATCATTGAATTGTCTGAAAAGTGTGTAGAGTAATGAAGGCTTTTGAATGAATGGTGCAAATGAAAAAGCAAAAGGTTGTTTCACCAACCAAAAAAACAGTTTAAAAGGTTTAAAAATATGTAACAACTTTCTGTCTTTGTGTCCTCTGTTTCTGATGCTAATCAGTTATGTTCTAGTTCATTTTGATATGGGGGTTTTCGATTTTGACACAATCTTTCAAAATTTTGAATATCAGGGAATCAGTTTGGGCAGTGAATGAGTGCACTTGAGTTGTTGGATTTGAGGATTTTATAGGGGTGATACATTGGAGCTGCCCGTGAAAAGATGATTCTTTCAGCTCTTTTAACTTCTGTTGGGATCAATCTTGGTCTTTGCTTCTTGTTTTTTGCCCTATACTCGATATTGAGGAAGCAGCCGGGTAACATCAAAGTCTATTCGCCTCGATTGTTTGGTGAAAGAAAAACTCAACAGGAGGATGACTTCAACTTGGAAAGATTGCTACCATCACCTGGTTGGGTGAAAAGGGCATGGCAGCCCTCTGAAGACGAATTATTGTCAATTACAGGACTGGATGCTGCTGTATTTATGCGCATGTTTATCTTCTGGTAATTCTGATGTCTCATGATGTTTATTTAGTTGCTAAAATAGGAACGGAACCTGCAATTCATTAATAGGGTTAGTATATGCAGTGATTCATTTCTGTTAGCAGATTTATACCTTTGATGTCAGAAATTCTAGCCATTTATCAAGCCAATCTTTACTGCAAGATAGACTTAGTTGCTGTCTTCCAGACCAGTATTACAAATATGTGACTTTTTTTTGTCGACTATGGCTAAGCTGTTGGGATTATTGACTCAAATTTTAATTGTGGTTGGTTAGAATTACCTTAGTTAAAAAGTTAATTGGTAATTAATTTTTTCCTACAGCAAGTTAGTTTAGGGTTTTTTGGATGTGGTTAAAGTAGGGTTTTCTGCATTCTTATATTCAAGGTGGCCCCTCCACCTATTGCCATTTTGTTTTAAGTTGGATGTGTAACATAGTATCATAGCCAGATTCTGTTCTATGATTATTGCCTTCTGAGTTGGTAATGTGATACTTACACTTACATGTGATGGATGCCTGTAGTGTTATGTTAAATCTTAGGTTTCTAGTGGTATTAGATTCAAATTGGCCCCTTCACATGTTGCTAATTGGTTTTAGGTTGGATGATTAACTAATATTTGTAAATGTGTAGTTAGGTTTAAGTTAAAAGTGTGTTGTCTAGAGAGTTGCCAGACAATTTTAGATAGTGGGAGAGAGAATTCGGTGTAATGAATTTATGGTATGTGAGATTGTGAGAGAGATTGGTGAGATAGAAAAAGAATTGAAGATTGTAATTTGAAAATTTGTTAGTGAGATTTGTGGAATTTTTCCACAAGAAAATTTGTGTTATTTGTGTTTGATTGGGTATTTGGTCTAACATAAGCACAAAAAGTTGTAATATAAGTTCTTACTGGGCTGGAATCCATTTAGTATAAACTCATAATAATGAGATGACAAGAATCCTTTTGATAGCAAGACTTTTGTATGAGTTCAGCTAATCATGAACAACTCCCTTTATTGGACTATGATCTAAACTTTGTTTTTCTTGGTTTGGTTATAATTGAGTCATCTGGACTTCATTTTGGTGAGTGAATGTGTATTAAGACCATTTCCGACACACTGCTTAATGTTCAAAATTAGATTTCTTTTACTGTCATTTCTAGTTAAAAATCAATTATTTTTCCTCAAAAAACCTTTTTTTTAATGCATTTTTCATTGATTTGCTTAGAGGGTGAACTTGATGTTTATGTGGCATATAAAAGCACATTATTGTACTATTATATTTCTTCTGGATCCATCTTTCTGCATGCCATCTTCAACTCATCCCTGTTTTTTTTTTTTTTTTTTTAAATGCAGTCTTAGAGTGTTTACTTTTGCCAGTATCATTGGAATCTTTGTTCTTCTGCCAATTAACTTTTTGGGGAACCAGTTAACAGATGGTTTTTCTAATTTGCCAACGAAATCTCTGGACTCGTTCAGTATTTCAAATGTCGATGATGGTTCAAACAGGTAATTTTTATGCAATTGGTTAGCATAATTTCAGTTTCTGATGCTAAACTCAATAATTATAGTTGCGAGGAAGTTGAAATAAGGGTTGTAGCGATATGACCAAAGTTTTACTTTCTTTTCATGTGTTGTTGATTGCTGTGTGTAAATTCATGATTGATTGTCGTGTATGATAATCAACAATTTTCCAGAATGCTTCCCTGGTCGTTTCTCATTTTCAGCTGTTTATTTCATTTGAACTTTGAAGTAGTACTTCCTTTGAAAGTTTGTGACAGTTGTTAGATTTTATGAGTTTATATAAAATTTATTGTTTCAAAACAGGCATTTAGATTCTTCATGTTAAGGGAATGCTGACTAAAAGTTTTCCCCTTTTCAAGGTTATGGATTCACTTTTGTGCTGCCTATATTTTCACTGGAGTTGTCTGCTATCTTCTGTATTATGTAAGTGATATTTCATATTAGTTCTTCTGCTGATGCCATCAAGGTTGTTGATTAATATAGAAAATCCACTGAAGCTTTAAATTTGGTGATACTGCAATTTGCAGGAGTATAACTATATTTCATTGAAAAGAACTGCCTATTTCTATTCTTCCAAACCTCAGCCACATCAGTTTACAATATTAGTTCGTGGTATTCCTACCTCATCTGAAAGCAGCTTAAGTCAAGTTGTTGAGAACTTTTTCACAGAGTATCATCCTTCAACTTATCTTTCACATGCAGTGGTCCGTCAAACAAGCAAGATTCGAAGTCTTATGGTAAGCATCAATGTTAATAATTGATTGATTCAGTCATCCTCTGGTTGTTACTTTTTAAAAACATAATTTTTACTTCTTGGACAACTAATATGAAATTGGAATATTTATTGGTTATTTGAAAACTTTAAATATGAAAATTGAATCAAATAAAAATGTAAGAAATCAAAGTGTTTTATTATTGGTCAAGCTAATAAATTTTAGAAACTGAAACCAACTATACTGGAAAATATGGTTAATCAAAAACTGAGTTTGTTTTATGTAAGTAGAACATGTTTGTAAATTTTTAACATTAACTCTTCTATAGAGTAAATATATACCTATGAGATCTGCTTAAACAGTTAAACTTTCCATCCAAATGAAACTGTTTCTAAGTGGATCAGTTGTTGAAAAGATGGTCCTTAATTAGATGTTTTAGTTACTGAAGTTTTCAAGGCTCCATGATCAATGTACTCTAGGGGGTTTAGGACAAAAAGAATGTTATCATAGATATAAGATTGAAACTATGACCTGACACCAAATATGTCCTTTTTTTCCTTTCTATTTTGCTATTATTTATCGGAATTTTGACAATTACATGTCGTTGCATGCAGAATGATGCAGGGAAGCTATATAGAAGGCTTGGTCATTTAAAATCAACAAATTCTCAGCAAAGGTTTAAGCGTGATGGATTTTTGGGACTCTTTGGTCGAAAAGTTGATCTGGTGGACCACTATGAGAAGAAGTTGGAAGATATAGAAGATAATGTGAGACTAGAGCAATCATCATTGGCAGGAGAGGTTTGTGACCTTCTTGTGCCTATATATTTGTCTCATAATCAAGGAGACACCACATTTGATGCATACTGAGTTTAAATTATGGAGAAAATTATGTTTGGTTGCTTTTTGTAGTGACAATGTCTGCTGATATTGAGAACTTTGTGAGCATGTGGACATATGTGGTTTATATCTATATCTTGATTTAAATACAAAAGATAGTACTTGATTCACCTAATCTTGTGCCTTGCAAATTTCTAGGAAGTTCCTGCTGCTTTTGTGTCATTTAAGTCAAGGTTTGGTGCTGCAATAGCTTTACACATCCAACAAGGGATTAATCCCACAGAGTGGGTTACTGAGAAAGCTCCTGAGCCTAAAGATGTTTACTGGCCTTTCTTTTCTGCATCATTTATAAAAAGATGGATCTTCAAGATAGCAGTGGTTGTTGCATATATTGCTCTTACGATTCTATTTCTTATTCCAGTTGTATTAGTGCAAGGTCTCACTCATCTAGATCAGCTGGAGACCTGGCTCCCCTTTCTAAAAGGTGTACTGAGCCTGTAAGTGCATATTCTTTCTCTGTTGCATATCAGGTTTCGTGCTTTTCAAATGATAGCAGGCCATCGGTTTTTCAAGTTCTCTTGGCATATAGAAAAAGCTTATTTGCATGTAATTAAGTGCATTAGATGCAGTTCTCAGTATTTTATTATGACTGAAAGGTCTGTAGGTCGATAACCATATCAGAAGTTTTATTTCCAAGGCAAGCCATGGTTTTTCAACATATGGATACTCTCCACCTTATGATCAAGAAAGCAGAAATTTAAAGAACTTTAAGAAACATGCTGAAAGGCCAAAGTGTGGTTTTCATTAATAATGACAGTGGCAATGTAAATTTCAGGGCTATGCATAAGAAACTGTCATCTGAGGATACTTTACAAATAGTTATTAGCAGAATGTATTTGGAGCAAAAGGTCCATCTTAAAAGTACTTGCGTGGTGTTTGCTGTTTGAAAGTAAAATCATTGACTAATAATGCAAAAACAACAATCTGCAAAAAAGAAAAAAAAACGGAATAAGAAGCATCATATCATTATGCGGAATAGCAAGCTGTCTAAAGTGTATTTATGTTCGAAGTGATGAGCTCCAATTATTAGATAAAAGATAAATTATAGGTTTATTAGCTGTTAATAAATTAGCTATATTCTCTTGTTCTGGTAGATTTAATATGGATTTGGTGATTCACAACGTAGTACTGAATCTGGATTTTTGAATTGCAGGACGTTCATCAGTGATTTGATTACAGGATATCTTCCAAGTCTCATTCTTCTTTTGTTCCTATCTGTAGTGCCTCCAATTATGGTAGTCTTTTCCTCCATTCAAGGATATATTTCCCACAGCCAAATAGAGAAAAGTGCATGTATCAAGCTGTTATGGTTTACTGTATGGAACATTTTCTTTGCAAATGTACTATCTGGATCCGCTCTCTCTATGGTCAATATCTTCCTTGAGCCCAAGAAAATTCCCAGCCTGCTAGGTGAAGCTGTTCCAGCACAGGTGAAAATAAAACTCTCTGATAGTGCACACGTTATTGTTCATAATTTGACATAGATAATGCACATGGAGTTTTATTTTATATATTTTTTAGTTCTTTTTTTCTTTAAATTATTTGATGGTTCTATCCTTAAACATGCTAATGTTCATAATTACTTGTTCTGGTTGAGAAACTAATGCCTATGCCTCAATATTTTTTGCCTTTTCACCACTGACAATATCAAAGGCCATGATCTGGTGAAAGTTTTGTGGGATATGCCTCCATGCCCTTTTCAAGTTCTCATCTAATTTTTCTTTTCTTCAATAGTTTTGTAGTGTATTTAAGACTCCCTTTCCTTTGATCTGTTGCTTGTTGGAGAAAAGTAAAACATACATAAAAAACGCTAAACTCTATTTATGTGCTTCTAAATAGGCACATCCCCTAAAGTCAACAGTATGAGCTGTATCTTGGTGTAAAAAGTCTCAACAGTATGAGCTGCTGCTAGAGACTTGAATATATGTTAGCGCTGAAGAAAATGAAATGGCAGAATGATATTTTAGATCCTGACTTTTTAAGATGATGTTTTGTTGTGTTGAGTTGTTATCTCTCCAGGGAGTGGTTCAACTAGAGGTAACCAATCTGCACTGACGATTGGCAAAACCTCACATTTTAGTGCTGGTTAATATGCTAGGTATCACATCCATGACCAGTCTACTGATTTATGTTAACATTTAGCCGAGAATGATAAACATGAACATTATTTATCATTAATTATTATTTACTTGTACTTATCTGTAGTGCATACGCAAATATTAACTCTTTGTTTTTGCATCCAATCATGAAATGATGTAGTTTCTTTTTGTGTAGGCATCATTCTTCATTGCCTATGTAGTGACATCTGGGTGGACCAGTCTGTCGTCAGAACTTTTTCGTCTGATTCCTCTTCTTTACAGTTTCATGCGAAGTCTATTTGCAGGGAAAGATGGAGTTGATGATTTTGAAATTCCTTCAATCCGTTACCACAGTGAAATTCCCAGGGTTCTCTTCTTTGAACTTCTTGGTGTTACTTATTTCTTCCTCGCCCCACTAATTTTGCCATTCCTCTTGGTTTACTATTGCCTGGGATACATCATCTATCGCAACCAGGTAAGTGAAATGCCCCTTTTACAGCTTGCATCAGATATAATAGAACAGAAACCAAGGTTCACTTTGTTAAGTATTCAAGGCAAACCTTTCTAAAGCTACTATCTGCTTCATTTATCAATATTTCTGATAGGTCTAAGTGTTCCCAATCCCTCCGTTATGTTGATAAAATTGAATTCAAGTAGCTGATATTTTATCCAGACTAATGTGATTGACTATAAAGATTGAGATGCTAAGACGTTAACGCAATATGATTGTTAAATTTCTCTCTGAATGATAAAGTAAATGTCAATTTAGCACTTAATCCTCGAAAAAATTTAGGTTCTTAATTTTAAATTTTCCCAATGTTTAATTTCTACCAACATTCTATCACTGAATTTGTGACACTATTATCATTTTACTTTTTTTTTTTTTCCAGTTCTTGAATGTATATGCACCCAAGTTTGAAACTGGTGGAAAGTTTTGGCCAATAGTGCACGATTCAACAATTTTTTCTTTAGTGCTGATGCATATTATCGCAATTGGAATATTCGGCCTTAAGAAGCTTCCTCTAGCATCCGGTTTAATTATCCCTCTTCCAGTTCTCACACTTATATTCAATGAATACTGTCGAAAGAGGTTCCTGCCCATATTCAAAGCTTACCCTACTGAGGTACAATTGTGAACTATATTATCCATTCCGTTATTTATATTCCCCTGAATTTGAAAGTGCTTTTAGTTCTCGGTAATGTTCAGCTAATTCTTCCTTTTGTTTTGCTTTCTTTAGCAATATAATGATGTGCATCTTATAACTTACTAGATACCAGGGAATTAAGCTTGTTAGTAGTTTGACACATTCATACGGTTTTCGATGCATATCTATTATTTGGTGCCCATTCGTTTGTCTGTTTATTGTCACGGTACTAGGCCCAGTTGTCCTGGCCTGAATATTCTTTGTTTTGCAGTGTTTGATAAAGAAAGATAGAGGAGACCAGAATGATCCAACCATGACTGAATTTCTGGAAAAATTACCCACTGCATATCAGGATCCAGCTTTGATGCCAGTCCAATATTCCAGAAGTGATGATGGGCGCAGCTCTCCCCTTCTTGGTGCAGCTGAAGTTTAAAGCCAGTAATTTTTGCTCTTTGTGGTCCTTGGATATTAAAAATCAGGCATGCTAAACTTGAACAGTTACAAACTCGTTCGTTGTTGTTCATAATGCTAATGAAATGAAATTCCTTCTGTCCATTTACCGGCAAAGATGGCCAGTTTGTATTTTGTACATATGAATCATGACAATTCTCAATTCATGAGTGGGAGCATGAGAAATTTGTTATACTGGCCCGGATGTTTGTCAGTTCTGTGTCACTAGAGTAGTAGAGTTTCTTCCTATAAACTTTTATGTGCAGTTTCTGTCGCAGCTACTGTTGCATTAATACATTGCTTATTGTCAGCTTTTGACTATAGATAATGTCTTGGATGAGCTGAAGCTTTCTGAAGCACTTATTTCATCCCACTCTCCGGTAATCGATCTGATTAAGCCTTGTCCATTGGCATCCTTTTGATTCACATGGATCAGGTGCGCACTTATCTGGATAAATTCAGAGATGGTTTTAAGTATTGATAGGTTAGGTTGAACTAAGAGTGTAAATAATATATTAGTATTCGTAAGTAATTCGGATTTTATTTAAATAAAATTTGAATTTGACTTTGTTATTATTGAATCGAGCTCGAGTGAGCATTTTTATATTTAATTCAAATAACTCGCGAACTTAATTGAGTTTTTATATTTTAATATATTTTTATTATTTTAATTAATAAAATATTTTGAACTCAAACTTAAAGTACAAATAATCAAGTTTTTGTCGAAGATAAGAATCGAATTTATTTTTACATGTTAATCGAGCGAGTTCGAATAATTTAATTTTTATTTTGAGTTGAGTTTAAGTTAGACAAGTAAAATTTGATCGAGTTTGAGTTGAATTTCGAGTTTTGAATTACGAGTCGAGCCTTGAATTTAACATTGTATCGATTCAAATTAAATCGATTATATTCTTAGATTGAACCACAAACTTTGATATTTGCTTAATGAGTAAAGTATACTATTGGTTATTTAACTATGAGCGTATTTTTAAAATGATTAATTAATTATTAAAAGTTTTAAATTAATCACTAAATTTTGAGTAAGTATTTTTTGTTATTTAGTTGTTAATATTTAACGGCATGTTGACATGATAATATCATATCGGTTATCAAATATCACATGTCATTTGATATATCATGTGATATTACTATGTGATATTACAAATATTAAAAAAAATAAATTTTATTGATATTATAATGTCACAAAGTACTTCTTGGCTAATGTATCATTGTTACGTTAATATTTTATTAGAGATTAATGATTAAATGAGTAAAAAATATTAACTTAAATTTTAGTAACTAAATTAATTATAATTAAATGATAATTTAGTGATCATTTAAAAAATTCGATTATTAAGTGGCAAATGGTGTAATTTATCTTAAAATTAATGATAGTGTCTCCCCTTTAATGCTGAGTTTCCGCTACCAGTGGAAAAACTGCTAAAAAAGCAACACAAGGCAAGGTTTCAGCAAACCAGACAAGAATAATTTGGTCTGAAAGGTTAGTTGTTTTGGAGTCACAACATAGCAGCAAGAAAAAAAAAAGAAGTTGTCTTCTCCTTTGAAAGGGTCAAGTTTGTATTTTGATGCAAACTTTTGTACTAATTGATCAAAACTTCAACTTCCATCTTCATGTCTCAAATAACTAAAAGGATTATAAGACAAATTGACCAACTAATTCACTAAACTTCACTATCTATCTCATAATTTGAATCACAAATCTTGATGTTTAAATACCTAAAAATCTACTATTAAGATTATTTTATCATATTAATTCAATATTATTTTCTTTTTAAATTACATATTTTAGTAATACAATCTAGAATGTTTTTAAATGTTGCTTAAATTTTATTTTTTTCTTAATAATTTTAAAGATGCAATTTTTTTTATATTAACTTGATGTATTTAGAATTTATATGTAAATTTGAACAAATCGAATATAAATAAATTTTGATATTCTTATGATTTATTTATTTAATTAACGAATTTTAATATATTATTTATGATCATTTATTAAATTTATTTATAAACGTTTATCAAAATGTAATATTTATTTACATTTGAAATTTATTAGCGAAATATTTCCTATAAAGATAGAGATTGACAAAGAAAGCGTGACATTTTCAATGCCTATAGCTGTATTATTTAATAATTTGAAGCAAAGGTTTTAAAGTGAACAACAAGAAAAAGGATTGAAAGGATTTTTTAAAGAATGGCCAAGTTCAAGGCCCTTGACCATTGAAGAAATTTTAATCTTCAAACTTGAACGGACATTTGGTTTTCCGTTGGCCCTCCACGTGGAGGAACAACAATGGCCATTGACATTTTCATGCTCTCAATTGATAGCTTAATTAAGCTTAATCAACTAATAATTTTCTTCTTAATGATAATTATAAAGCATCATAGCATTACACGTGGAAGACGGACCTTGATTTTGCAAAGGTCAATCCCATAATTTTCTCCCTAAGGAACATTAATCTTATATATTTTTATTTTTTGATAGACTATTTTAATGACTAAATAAATGACAATATTTAGATAAATTCTTTTTAAATGAAATTAGTGAAGTTTTTATTCAAAATGATTCAATAAAAATTTTTATAAAAAAATTAAATCTATAAATTAATAGAATACAATGATAAAATTAATAATATGTAAAAATATTATAAAAATATTATTTATAATTTAAATTAAATAAGCATTTATTCAACGTAAAAATTTTATCAAAATTTTTAGTAAAAATAATTATTTGTAAATATATCAAAATTTATTAAAATTTTTTCAAATTTTGTCCACTTAATATATGATATATGTAATAACACCTTTCAATTTATTTTTTTTAATTTTTTATTTGTATTTATATCGTATCATTTTTAATTGAAACTTCAAAAACCTTGTATAAATAATTTTATTTGTCTTTTTCATAAATAAATTATAAAGTTTAAAAAAAATTTTCTTGGTAGTGGTTAACTTCAATGATATAAAAAACCAACATAAAAAACACAAAAAGGTGAAATTTGTCTCATTAGGGAACTTTGAATTTCTTTGTTATAATAGGACAATCCTATATATTCCTTATGATTTTGGTCAACTACGTATTGCATTAATTAAATTTTGGTTGATTTTAAATTTCAAGCCTCTTTAATCGAAATATAATATGTTTAATCTTAGTTGTTATACCTAATCTTGTGATAATTTCAATTTTTTCATATATAATTATTAATGAATTGTTTTAATATTTAACAGAATATTATTCAAACCAAACATTTAGGCTGCAAATTGTAAGTCAAATTCAAGTTCAAGCTAATATTTCATTTTTTTTTTCTTCATTTGGGTTGTGGAAAATGTAAAAGAAAAGAAAACCATAGAAAATATTGAAATCATTTTATAAAAAAGATTAAAAAGAAAAAAAATTTACTTCAAATCTTGTTATTAAGTAAAATATTAATGTCAATTGTCAGCTTTAGTGGCGATACTGGAAACTTTGTAAGAATCGTTTTGTTTGAGTTGCACCAACAATGACAAAAGCAAAATCATCACTGGCATATCTGCTTTGTACAAGGGGCTGTTCATCCAAGGTGATTTTCTTGACCTTTTATGGCCCCTGACAGTGACATTGCATGCTTCCTTTCACAGTATGAATGGAATATAGTTTGCTTCTGTCAAGTTTGGATCGATATTATTCCATGGAAACTGAAAATTTTTGTTGTCATTTAGAGGGTGACTTTCATCAAAGAAGAATGTTGAAGTGATTGGATGTTTTCATATCAGTAATCTGATATAATTCGTAGGTTTGAAAGATCGCATGCTCAGCCATTTTGAGACTCTTGGATCCTCAAAATTAACAGAAAGATCTTTCAAAACCATAATTACGTGATTTGTTGATAATGTATTGGACTTTTAGTTTCAGTAATCAACATTTAGTCTCTCCTGACAACTATAATTACAAAAAAAAAAAAAAAAACCTTTGTAGAAGTGCCAAATGAACCCTAAATAACAGTTAATGATTAGAGAAATGTGGATTTTTATATGATTTTATTAACATCTGGTATAATAACCAATAAAATCTCCAGTTGGAAGTGAATATATTGGTTATTCTGCATTGTTTGGAAATCATTTTCAGTGGTTTTAAGATGCCACTGGTTTTCCAATACATACAATAAAAAGGGTACAAATAAGTCTCTTTCAGGACAGATGAATTCTATGTTCCACTGTTAAAAGCATTATATTATTTGCAAAAATGCACTTAGAATTGAGGAAAGGTATATAACAAGTGATGACTCATTCATGCTTATATTTTTCACATTAAAATTTGAGGATACTATTATTTAAAAAATAAGAGCTTAGAATTTACCAAATGGAAGCAAAGATCCTGTTCGACTTGGTCAGGCCAAAATTGCCTGAAATGCACCAATCATGTAATTTTTTTTTTGCATGGCCGTCAAGGAGAGAGTGAGAGCAAAAAGGTATGAACAAGCATTAAGACCTTTTCAAATCTCCACTCTCATTTGACAGGATCTTCACTCTTTTCCTATAAATGCAGAGCAACAGAACAGAAACAAAGCAGAAAAATTATCTGCCAACTGCCATAACTGAAATAGAAGAACACTCACTTGATATTACAAAGAAAAAGAATTATGGCTAGGAAAAGAAAGGTTAGTGAAGTGGTGGAAGAGAAAAATGTTGCTAGTGAACAGACAATGGGTTGGGATGAAATGGTGAAGGAAGCTGCAGCAGCTGCTGCACTAGGAGGACCTAGGAGAGCTAGGAAGAGATTTGTTGGTGTCAGGCAAAGGCCATCCGGCAGATGGGTTGCTGAGATTAAGGACACGATACAGAAGATAAGGGTCTGGTTAGGCACTTTTGATACTGCAGAGGAAGCAGCCAGGGCCTATGATGAGGCTGCTTGCTTGCTTCGCGGTGCCAATACAAGGACAAACTTCTGGCCTTGTTCTCCATCATCTAATTCAACCCCAGCTCTTTCTTCTAAGATTACTAATCTCCTCCTCCAAAGGCTTAAAGCAAGGAACAATTCCTGTGCTCCTTTGCCTACTTCTCCACCTATCAACCAGCAGCCGGTGCAGCAAGGACAGGAGTATAGAGAAGAAACAACAGATTGCTTGGATAGTCAGTTTCCTGATTTTCTTAATGATCCTGAGGATTATTTCATATCAAGTGATAACATCTGCAATGCAACTGCAAATGCTGCTGACTACTTGACAACAAGTCATGAAACGTGCTTAACTGATAATGAAGAGTCTACCAGGAGAGAATTAGATTACAATTTCACTTTCAGTGATGCTGCTCAATCTTCCAGTGTTTATGATGGTGATATGGGAGAGGAAAGAGAAGAAGATGGAGAAGTAGGCCGTGACATGGGGCCACTAGATTTCCAGTTTGTGGATGATATTGGATCATCTTGTTACTATTCTCCTTTTCAGATTGCTGAAGAGATTGGGGTACAAATGGAGCCAGAGCCAGAGAGTTTTGGAGATGAATCCTCAATGATTAGTGCTGTCGTGAAGAGAATGACATATGAACGCAAAATCTCAGCTTCTCTCTATGCTTTCAATGGGATACCAGAGTTGTTAAGGCTACAGCTTGGTTCAGAAGATGCCATGGGGAGAGGAAGATCAGAACAACTAATAAAACTTCAAAATGCATGTAACAAGAAAAAAGGTGAGAAGAATGTGAAAGGAAGTGATACAGAAATGATGGGAAAAAAACAGGAGGAAAGCCCACAAAGTTCATTTGATTCTTCAAGTCCAAATGATACGGGATTTTCATCACCAAGTTCGGTGGATATGGGGCCTTCTTCAACTGTAAATGATGGTGAATCTCTTTGGAGCTCACTTGATCTTCCACCCATCTGCTTTGTTAACTAACTGATATAGGATCTGAAGCTCATAACTTATATTCATTCTATTCCATGCAATGCTGATCTTCATATATATACACAAAGGAACATGAAATGTATTTTTCAAATTTCTAGCCAAGATTTTGCAAGTAGTCAATTTTTATTTTCTTCTTTTTTATCATATATGAGCAGTCATAAAAGTTGAAGAAGGGACCCTGTGTACATATGTAGCCGGATATCTCTGTTCAAAGTGTATGGGTGCTTAATTACAAAAAGAGAGGATTGTTTTCAAAGTATGATAAAAAGTTCACAAGATTTGATCCTTGGGCGTCATTGTTCTATGATGTTACGAACAAAATCACCCAACCAGCATAGTTTGGCTAATCCCACATGCCAGAATGAACTCTGAAACAGAACACCAAACGCATGTTAGCCCATCTTTATTGTCAACAAAGGAGATAAGGAATGAGGCTAGTTAGATTCTGTTGCTAACATATTTTCTCCTGCTTTCAAATTGCTTTTGCCCGAGCAAAATTCAAAGAGAACCTCGTCCAATGATATAGAAACGAAAAACACAGCTAGATTTGACATAAGTTGGCTAAAACCCGAAATTTTCACAGATAAATTCTGCACATTCTTTCAGTCAAGGTGCCACACGCTGCATTAACATTGGAGTGGGTGCGGAAAAAAAATAGCGTCCAACTTCAACCCCATAAAAAATTTTTACTTTGGTGATCATTAATAAAATAATTTGCTGGAAAAAATTAACATCCAAAAGACCAAGGATTAATTCTATCATGATAATTCATAAAAATTTCCCTTAGGTCATAACGAGGTCAAAACCCTAGTTATGATCAAGGCAAACTGTGTCATAACCTGGACTAACACAGTAATATTGCATTGTCCACAATTACCCATCTAAAATGGAGGGTTACAAAACAAAAAGGAGAAGGTTTTAGTCAAACTAAGAAAAAGAAAGGGTTATATACATGGAATGTTCTTATTCACATGCATCATAGGAGATTCATGGACAAGGGTCCTTGGAAATATAGCCTTCTCATGTTAGAGGACTCGGAGCTGTGCAAGGAATGCAGCACAAAGATCCAAGAAGAGAAACTGTGGCCCCTGAACCCTCTGAAGATCCAGCAGATACTTCTCCTCGCAAGTTTTGTAAAGCTGTCAACATTCATGGCAGCAAAACTACGTTAGCATTTTTATTGGAAACATTCAATGATCTACAACTATGCAACACCATAAATCATCGAGTCTGCACCCCAAACACCTAATTTCCTCATAAAATTCCATTTGCTATAAAAATAATTAGACATTACCTGCACTTCAAACTTGACAACATTTGGTGACTTGGTAACACCATCATTTTCTATAATGGTTGATTCATCCCCGAAGTAGTGATTATTGTGCACAGGATCAGGAACGCTAGGAAGCCACCTACACTTCATGTTGTAATGCCCTATCTTCTTCCAACAGACTTTGAGTTCTTGCAGAGCTTTGAGAACTTCTGTCATGATTTCACGAGGATGGGCACGAGACTATAAAAATAAAAACAGTGAGATGTCAAACTTCGGTGCATAAAAGAAGTTAGTCCCACTACTGTTACTCCACATATATTACATATTAAATCTAGACTTAATTGGCCAAACTTATCAATTAGTTAAAGTATCAACCACATTTATCCTGCTGGTTATACTTTTTTTTTCATATACCTCAGAATGCCTCTCAATTGATGTCTAATCACATATGTAACTATTATCAACGTAATAGAAAGTGCTTTGTGTTGGAAAAGTGCTTGAAAATCACAAACTCAACCTGAAGTCCAAGAGCCCATTTCCTATCAAGGCTTCTTAAACCCATTGCTTGATAATCTGGATATCCTGGAAGGCGGTGTCCAACAGTCGAAGCTGTAGGTTCACTTGGATGGATGTGGTTGAAGCCAGATTCCTGAAAATTGGATTAAGAAGACAAATTCAAATTCAAATTCCATACGAAAGTAAGCAAAAGAAAAAGAAGATAATGTCAATCGATTAAAGCAATAGAAATAGGTCACAAAATAGTGAAACTCTATTAAATCAGGAGTAAATTTTTTTCATGAATTTAATCAATTCAATAACATGAGGCAGCTTCAGGTAACGTTAGCAAAAAATTGAAAAAGTACAAATAAAAACGCACCATAGTTTCTTGAAACTCAGCTCCAAGATAGCCACTGGAGACTCGGAACCGATTGTCCAATAGTAAGTAGTAAGCAACAGTTCCCTGGAAGATATTCATGCAATAAGAAACTGCCAAAAACCATGAAAAAAAGGAGTTGGAGAAGTTGAAACCTCATTTTGAATTCTGTTGCGAAGAGATTCAACCAGATGGTTCCTTTCGAATCCCATCCTAACCACTTCCTGAAGGATCTCCTCATCAATCTGTAATTATGTTTCAATCAGGAACAAGCACATGACATAATAACAAGTATGAGAAGGCATTTAGGCAAGGCTTGTGTCACCAACCAAAAAGAGGATATTAGGGGGTAGGGAAAGCTAGGTAAATAACATTTAGAAGCAAGCTTGTTTCCGAGAGTCCATTAATGAGCAAGGAAAACTCAAAAATTACAAAGTATAACATTTTAGCATCAATCGCATGAATGTTCAAAAGGTTTCCCCCAAGGAACAAACCACGGCATCAGAGTAGCAAAACTACATCAAAAGCTGACAGGAGCTCAAAATTTTAGGACATGCACTAGGTATATTTATTCGACCATGATGGTCAATTTTCATAACACATCAATCCTTTTCAGGGGTTACTATAGCATACATAAGTATATTTACAACTGAACTTGACCTCAAGAGAAAAAAAATCAACAACCTTTTTTGCTTGTTGCATTGTATCTGGTGGAGGAACAGCTAAATATCTTGGAAGATGTGCTTGAAACCACGGGTGCTGGCGGATCTCAGGAATAGTCATTCTCTTCATTGGATCAACTACAAGCATACGTGGGATCAAATCTCTAGCACCAGGAGATAAATGGCTTGGAAGAGTGTATATGCCCCGCTGAAGGACAAATAATGCAAATTCCTAGGTATCAGCACTTTTAGGATTTAAGCAGGTAAGAAACAGGATTGAAAGTGAAAATCTAATTGGAAAATTTTTGACAGGATAGAGAAACAACAAAGTGAAGTACAGATGGCCAAAAGCATACTATCAATACTTATTTGTCAGAGAGATCTAAGATTCATCTCGGACTACAAAATGATAAGTTGATGCCAATTACCTTTATTTTCTTAAAGAGGTTGGGAATGTTTTCATCATCAAATGGCAGGGTACCACAAAGTAGGGCATATAATATAACACCGCAGCTCCATACATCCACTTCAGGTCCGGCATACAGTTTCCCAGATATAACCTATAATAATGGAGATCCATGTACAATAGAGATGCCACCATAACATGATATAAAATTTCTATTAAATAAAAGAAGACAAATCAAATATTTCATGACCATAAATGTAAGAAATCCATCATTAATTTTAATTCACAAACTCCTACCTCTGGGGCAGCATAGTTTGGGCTGCCACAACTTGTCTTCAGAAAATGACCATCTCTCATTACGTTGCTCAAGCCAAAATCAGCAATCTTCACATTGCATTTGGAATCCAGAAGCAAATTTTCAGGCTTAAGGTCTCGATGAACCACCATATTTCTGTGGCAGTACTCCACTCCAGAAATTATCTGCTTCCAAACAAAGATTTCATACTTACAATTTCTAAAAAGAAAAAGAAAGTAGATAAATAATAATAAACAAGAATATCCAACCAGACCTGCTGAAAAAAATTGCGAGCCTCATCCTCCTGCAACCTTCCTTTCTCTACAATATAATCAAAGAGTTCTCCAGACTTCACATATTCCATAACCACATAAATGTCCGTTGCTGTCTCTATGACCTCATAGAGTCGTATGATGTGAGGATGCATAAACAATCTCAAAATTTTAATCTCTCTTCTAACTGCACCAAAAATTAAGCCTCCCTCAATCAACAATACTATAGAATTCAACTACCTATGCAAGAATACATGTACCCATGACTCATGCAAAAAATAGCTTGAGAAAGCTACTAAAGTTTCTCTTTTCATTCTACTCAATGAGTTATTTCCAATATAACATCAATAAAAATTAACAAATTTGATCATTCAAAATAATTATCTTTTTTTTCTTCTGAAAGCAAAATTACAAGTAGCAAAACACTAACCAAACGGAACCTAAATTCAAAATAACGAACTTATAAAATCATTCAGAAAGAAAAAAAATCATGTGAGCAATCTATTAATAAAAAGTATACTAAAATGTCATGAACTAATAAATTATAAATTATATTATTAATTCTCAATTTTATTTTACTTCAACAACTAAAAAAAACTATAATTCAATCATCAAAAAAAAAATAAAAAATACCTTTTTCCTCCATATCCATGTTCCTAATCTTCCTCCGATTAAGAATCTTAATAGCAACTTTATGACCAGTCAAAGCATGTTCAGCAATTTTAACCTTTCCAAAAGAACAATTCCAGCGTTAATTCCAAGCTTTTTAATTAGGTAATGCATCCACTCCACTTCCCTCCTTTTCCTCCTGATCCATCCATTTTTCCTCCCTTAAACCAAAAAAAAAAAAGGAAAAAAATCAAAATCAATCAAATCAAAGCCGTTAAAAATCATGAAATGTAAGTGTAAGATTACCTGATTTGATCGGAACTTCCTCGGCTTGGGTCTTTTTTTTTTTCGGTGGAGAATCCGATAGAAGAAAAGCTAGAGAGAGCGTACGGACGAGGGTTTTTTTTCCTTATTGGTTAAAATATGTGCTATCTTTTTTTTTTGGAAGTTTATATTGATTCCTCGGGAGAAAATTTTGCCCCTCGTGTTTGACGGAATTACAGTAATATCCCTCTGTTTTTTTGTTCGTTTTTTGAGCCAGTTTTAAACGGATGTGTTCGAGGCGGAATTGTAGTTGAGTTACAGTGCAAATCAGGGATTCAATTTCACATTATTTTTTTAAAAAAAAGTGAAATACTGAAACTTATAAAAGATTCTAAATTATTTTTTAAGATAGATGCTGCATTTTTATTTGTGGGCATCAAACTTTTCTAAAATAAATAAATAAATCAATAAATAGTTGATTCAATCGATTAATTTATTTTTTTGATAAAAATATTTTGAGTTTAAATTTTATTAGTGATTATTTATTAGGATCATCTCGAATGTATTATTTATAATTATTTATCTTAAATTGTCAGATATAATATATCTTATCTTAATTTGAGAGATTGAATTAATAATTTATCATAAATTTTTTAAACAAAAAAAGAATAAATATGTTATTTTAATATTCGAAATTAAATATAGATAGCTAGAATTGTTTTTTTAATAAAAAATACAATTTAAAGATAAAAAATTAAGATGTTTAAATTTAAATATCAAATTTATTAAATATTATTTATTAAATATTATTTTAATTTTAATTTATTAAATGTTATATATATGATAAATCATTGATAAACTTAAATTTAAAATTACTTTTTTTTTGAAAAAAATAATCTTAATAATTAAGTTAATCTAAAGTTGATTCATCAAAATTTTTTATTTATACAAATAATAGTTGTGTGTGTTTTTTTTTTTTTTTAAATTTTGAAGCAATAACAGTTGCGTTATATCGTACAAAAATAAAAGTATAGATAAGAAGTAAGAATAAAATAAAATATTAGTTATACGTCAAAGGAGAAAAGATTTGGATGACGTGGAATTGAGTCATTGACACAACAATTAGACAATTAGTTTGGCTTGTTCGGTAGGGACTCAGGACAAACGAAACAAAACAAAATAACTTTACATTAGTTGGACAACTAGTTCAGCCTCTCAATTCTCGTAATCATCTCCGCCCTCAGTTTTAAAGTATTTTATGTTTAACAGTTTCGGCGAATAACTCGATCTTGAACATTTATAAAATGTAATTTTTTATCATAATCTAAAAATAAAAATAAAATTATAAATGTTAAATTTAAATTTCAATCTTTTTAAATTTTAACAAATAATTATATAAATCAATTGAACTAAATTTTATGATTAGATTTGTGCACAAAAATAATAATAATAATAATTTCAACGCTTAATGGCTCAGAACGGAGCAATTTTCATAATCTCCTTTCATCCAAAAAATCCACCATAGATGCTTCTGGTTTATGACAAAGCCTATTCTCTAAGAAAAAGGAAGTTAAAAAACTAAATGATGTTTTCTGCCTCTTGCTTAAAATAACAAACAGATTACATTCAAAACTAAACAATTTACAGACTTGAATGGTTTTTGTAGACAAAGCTCTTTAAGTGCAATGGAGTGAGAAAGTTCATGTAAGAGAGGCGGGGCACAAATCAACTCAAGGATCATATCTTAATAATCAGGAATGGAAGCAAAGCGATATCCTGCAGCACCCCTCCAAGAGTAATAAGCTATCCGAGTCTCGTAAAAACCTGCAACGTGTAAGTTCCGATCAATAAAATGTGTTTGGTCAAGCTCTTCGCAAGTTTGACAATAGCTAAAGATAACTTCAATGCAGATCACTAGAAGCCTTAAAGAAACATCAGAATGGAGTTTGATAAATTATTCTAGAATATTTTTGAATAGTTATGTGTCCTACAATGTAGAAAAACTGATATGTCGTGTCATATGATATGCCTTAGCTTCTATCTTCATGCATTTTTTGGTATGTAATGCCTATTGCAGGAATGTTGGCGTCAATGCAGGGCCTGATGAAATATGTAGAGTGTGTGATCAATTCAAATGCAAATAGAATTTTCTTGTTATTGCTTCCCAGACAAATGGTTAAGTCCCTCTATAACATAACAAAAAGAGAAAAAAAAGGTCTAAAATACTAAAAAACTCCTTACCTATTTTATTTAAAAAAAAAAACACTTAATCTTTAATTTGTATTCAATTAAGCCCTTATCTTTTAATTTGTATTTAGATAAGGCCTTATTTCAAATGAAAGATTAATTTATGTTAAGAGCTTATTTAGGTACAAATTAAAGATTAAGGGTTTATTTGAATACAAATTAAAGGTTAAGAGCATATTAGGGTAAAATTTTAAAGGTTAAGAGCATATTAGGATACAATAAAAGTATAAGGGATTATCTAAGTAAAGTGGTAAAATTCAGGAGCTTTTTTGTTATTTTAGCCAAAAAAAGAAAAGCTTCAAGACTCACAGTATATTAGGAAGGTAGAAGAAAAATAATGTATGAAAACGATGGGAAACTAAAAAAGAGTAAGGCAGAAGAGCATCTCTTTAACTACAATATCCTTAGTATTTCAGAGAAAACAGTTTAATTATTAGGGATAAAACTGAAAGTCCAAAAGCAAATTCATCTTAAAAATATAAAAATTCAAAAGTTCCATGGAAAGAAGAATTTTCACCAAATAAAATTCCCAATTCAAGGAATTAGGGAAAAAAATGGCCTTTAAGGGAGACCTTCTGCCCCTACTAAGAGGAGAGCACTCAGTCAAACCCCTTCTCCACTACTCTCATATATCCTCTCCCTCCATCCAAACAGAGGGGTTAATGTCATCTTCAACCTAAACTTCCCAAAGTGCAGCAATAGTGCAATATAAAGACAGGAGAAAATGCAACATTCTATGGCTCTATGAATAACCACAACTTCAAGGATCAACACTTAACCATCAGATGCTTTCGCAATTTCATAATACTTCCTAAGCATTTTTTTGCGAATTGATCTACCCAAGTCCTTAACATCAAACAGTTTACTGGAAACAATGAAAACGGTGATTTCAGAGCAACACTATACTACAACATTCAATTATTGTCCAAGGACTCTTAACAACAAGAACCCTGACTTGCCATTTCATGTCTACTTAGCAAAATATTATTCATTAAACACGAAAACAAGTAAATTAAACATAACTAAGAAAAATGGTTTAAATTGTTAAATGAAAGCCCCAATTTAAAGGATAGAGCAAAACATAAGTACACATACTTTCTACACCATTCCGTTAAAGCATTTACTGTTGAGTCAGTTAATACCTGGAAGGAAAGTAAGAATTCCAAGGACTAAAAGGCCATAGGCCTGTGATTTCTCTCCTCCCATATGCCCAGTGAGGATGAAAAACGAAAGAAAAAGAAGCAAGCATCCAAGACAAAGCAAAAAGACTGCAAGGGCAATGGACTTCCACGGGACTCTATCAAAGGCATTTGGTGAATAATCAAACCTCGGGTCATAACGCCTTCCATCCTTCCCATCATCTTCATCCGTGGCTAAAGGACTGTAACGAACGTGACGCCTAGACGACATAATAGTTAAACTCTTAACTATCTCCCTAGGGTTCTTTGCAGATAAACCTGACTTGTCCAAACACAAAAAGACAAAAATTTGCTCAGTCAGATATCGAATAAAGAAGTTATGTAAGAAATACACCAATAAATAGCATTTACTACTAAATGCCAGTCAACCTGATCACCTCTTAACATCCAAAAGCAAAGAAAAAGGTTTAAAAAACATAAAATTTAGCAGTTTGATTTACATTATTTCAATAAAAATCAGAGCAATTAACGTCAAAGTTGCAGTTTTTCTTCATGGATAATTAATCAGCCAAGATAAAATCATCAAACAACCAAAATTTCTCTTTTTTTTTTCAGAGTTCTAGCAGTAAACAACCCATCTTTGAGCTATATATTAAACTGGGTGATTATTAAATACAAGAAAATTTTGAAATTTAAATGACCCAGAAACTAAAATCCCAATATATTTCAATTCTCAAGAACCCTAGTTGCAAACAGATCTTATTATTAAAAAAAACGAAAACAAAACAAAAATATACAAAAAAAAATCGTATAAAAGAGAGAGAAATGAACTTACGGAGGAAAGAAGGAGAATTTTGATAGTAAATCTGCACAGGGTAGGAATAAAGTAGAATCGAGTTGTTGAAACTTCAAAGCAAATAATCAGGGAAGAGATTTTGGAATTTTCCATTTTTAACATGTTATGACGTAAATATCCTTACATTTATTTAATTGTTGTCAAATCCCAATTGGATGAAATGTAGATTTTGTTGATTAGCGGGGGCCAAATTAGGCATTCATGTGAAATTAGAGAGTGTTGTGAATTTAATAAAACAAATATTTTGGAATGGAAAAAGTTTAACATAAATTTCATTATCTTTATTTTTATTCCATTTTGATGTTTAATTTTTTAATTATTATATTTTGATCCTTAATCTCTTCACTAAAAAGCAAAAGACAACATCACAATTACATAATCAAAGATGATTTTTAATGTGATATATAACTGTAGACTAAAGGTATAAATAATATATTATTATTTGTAAGTTATTCGAGTTCAATTCAAATGAAATTTAAATTTGACTTGATTATTATCGAATCGAGCTTGAGTTCGAGTGATTTGACTTACCGATCGAGTCGAATTCGAATATTTTTATACTGACTTAAATAACTCGCAAGTTTAATCGAATTTTTATATTTAAATATATTTTTATTATTTTAATTAATAAAATATTTCGAATTCAAGCATAAATAATCGAATTTTTGTTGAATATAAGAATCGAACTTATTTTTATATATTAATTGAGTTTAATTGAACGAGCTCGAGTAACTCGATTTTTATCTCAAGTTGAGCTCGAAATAAAAAAATAAAACTCGAACGAATTCGATCTAAGTTTCGAGTTTCAAAATTTGAATTTAGCTCAAACTTAAACTTAATATTATATTATTTTAAACTCGATCAATTACACTCCTACTATAAACACAATAAACAAATAACTACCTAGAATCTAAATGTTACATTGATAGAATAAATAACAATAAAACAATTATTTTTGTAGCAAAATTCTACTTACTTGAATAAATAAAATATAATTTTTTTAAAAATAATCTTTTTATTTTATTATTATTATTATTATTTAAATTATATAAATTAAGTTAAATTCAAACATTTTTCATGTTAATAAAACTCGCCTGATTGAACCGAATGGAATGCAGCAACTTTTTTATTTTGAATATGAGAGAAAAACATCACAATTTAAGAGATTGTATATCATTTGTTCTTTTTTTTTTTTACCATTTTAATAGTTTATGAATTTCATTAAAGAAAAAACAAAAAAAAAAATTTAATGATTGAAACTTAAAATTAAATTTCAAAAGTTTCGAATTCAAATTTTAAGACGAAGAGAAAATTTTTTTTTGATAAACTATTCTTGTGGGAGAGCAATTTTAAGAATTGCAGCAGCCAAGTTTTACTCTGGTTAGTCATTAATTAGTACAATACATGAACCATATAAAATTCTTCAATTTTTATTAATAATTATATGTAGGAGCATGACCATTCTCAGGCCCTACCGATGAGGGTTTCTTCTTTAATAAGTTTTCTAGTCTCGTGAGTGAATGGCCTTCAACCAAAACATGATAAACACCACCATAAATTTTATCCTAATTTTTGTGCATGTTGCCACTAAAAAGGATAGATATTGGTGGGATTGTAGACAACAAGGCATGCCATTTGCCCATTTAGCTTTATCCCAAACTGTACAGCTAGGCTTCCCTTTCATCATCGTAGTAACTCTAATAGTGTTTGCTACTCTCTATACAAAGTACAGATAGCTATGTCTCATCCTTCACCCCCACACAGAATTTCAACCTTTCATCTCCATTTCTATTTCAATTGTGGTGACAATAACATTTTCAATCACCATCAATGCAAAAAATGGTGTTCTTGCAAAAAATTTTACTAAAAATTTCAATATGTTACAGATATGTTTAATCCATGATTCTATTGAGCTGGGTTAAACTTGATTTCAATACGACTTGTTTTAATGTTAAATTAATAGTTCTAAATTATCATTCATAGATTGATATTTATAAGGTTTTTTTTTTAAAAAAATATAATAGAATGTAGAGTATAATTTTTTAATTTTTTATATAAAAAAAATTATAGATGTTGAAATTTAAATTTAAAATTTATTAAATGCTTGACAGTTTAAATTAATTGAACTAAATTCAAATTCTTAATTGCTTCACAAAATAAGAGTTTAAAGTCAAAATTTAGGTAATATTATCAGCCTCAAGTAAGTATACCAAAGAAAGACCTCTACCATGGCAGTTATATGTCAGTTTCTGATGGTTGGAAAGAGATGTAAGAAAAGTAACCCAGCAGGTTAAACAAATCTAGAAAAAAGAAGCAAATATCAATGTCTCTCTCTTGCCTTTGATTTTTTCTTCTTTTTTCCTTATACAATTTCACTTGGGGAATGAACCCCTCATCACCCCAATAGAATGGAAGAAACCCCATCTGTTCTAATGGGTTGTGCAGAAAAAATTATCAGAAATTCAATCCATACCTTCCTCAAATATTTTCACTACTTCACAGCCATCCCAGTTCTCCTTTTGTTCCCTTTCTCGGCTTCTGTCCTCCTTTCACAAGCATTTTTCAAATACTATGCACCATTTTCTGAAACCATCGATGTTCAATTTGATTCCATTTTTGATCTTGCAGGGTTTTCCTTCTGGTCTCAACTCAAATCCCAAACTATTTTTCCCTTTGTTTTTACTCTTCCTTTTGCACTTTCGTCCTTCACCATGGCAAAAGCGTCTATAATTCAAGCCTTGAATCACCATAAACCATCTCTTCAAGCTCCCTTTTTCAGTTTCATATCACTTTATAAACCTCTACTCTTAACACAGCTTTGCAGCTTAGTCCTGATCATTGGCATCAACTCAGCCATCTTTTCTCTCCTTTTCATTTCCCTGAACTCTCTGAAACCATTTCGGTTACCATATATCAGCCTGATTATACCTGCTTTTGGAGCTGTTTTTTACTCTTTCTTGGCCAACACAGTTATGGTTAGCAACTTAGCTTTGGTTGTGGCAGGGATGGGAACTTGTAAAGGACATGTAGCAATCTATAAGGCTTGTTTCATAAGAAAAGGTAAAAATTCTATGGCTCTCTTGTTGTTTCTCCCAACAAATTTGGGTCTTGTTTCAATTGAAGCCCTGTTTCAATTCAGGGTGATAAGAGTTTACCAGGTTTTGGGAAGGCTTAATTCTTCCATGGCTCTGGAAGGGTTACTGATTGCTTATTTATATTCTCTCGTTATTGTTCTTGACACAATCATCTGTTGCCTGTTTTACAAGAGTTGTGAATCAAATTCTATGGCAAGTCAAATTCATGGAAATTGCTATGATATTGAACTTGTCCATGTAAGAGAGTCTTTTGATGAATGAGATCTCCAACATCATCAAGCAAAGGCAATTACAGCTAGGTAATTCAGCATGAGAAAACAAAGTAATGAAACCAGCTAGCCTAAAGAAGGTTGCTGTTGTGTCCTTGAGTTGGTTAAAGTTCCCATCTTCAAAGGGTTGCAGCCTTTGTCAGGGAACTAACATGTATAGGAATGTTTTTGCACTTTTGAAAACAGACATCAAATTGTATTACAAGGGAATGAATTAATAGTTGCAGTCAGGCAAAATATTTTGCTTTTATGATTATTATTTTTATTAAAAAAAATCGTAATCTGAAAATAAAAGAAGGAATTGTATGTGTAATAAGCTATAATTTGAATTCCAAACGTGATCAATTCCATCTGAGCGATTATATAAACTAACTCATGTAAATCTCTGATAAGTAATATTTCGATAAGCAACTTAGCCTCCAAACCTTAATAAACCTTCATGGACTGAAACAGTCATTCTGATCAAACCAATAAACCAGGGGAAATCCCATTTTAATTTTGTTTATACAAATTCAGCGTAGCTTCTCCAGGTCTGTGTTAATGCACCGCCTGACAGCCCAGATCAGTCATCAAAGTTTTAAAAAGCTGGAAAACCTGAAGGCCCAAGTTTGTCTCATAAATCATAAAAATAAAATAAAGTACTGACAATTTGCACTCTTCCTCGTTTATTTTCTTCTTTTCACTTTTGAATCTAAAATCACGACGACGATACATGTTATATTAGTAACTTTAGATTACACGTTTTCTATAAAGAAAATACTACATAAGTTCAATGTACAAGTGAGATGATAAACCCATTTAGCAAAGAAAGAAATGTGAAGTGATAAATCCTAGTATTTACTTTCATTAACTCAACTCTTGCATCTCTGCGGCCAATAATAATGAGATTTGTTGATAGAATATTAAATTTTTAATTTTAATAAAAATTCAATCCCTACTATTACAAAAAAAAACTTGCACATTTGCGACAAAATTTTAGCAGTATCGTCATCTTTTCATTATGATAACCTAGCAGATAAAAATAGAAAAAGACCAAAGGAAAATATTTTGTATAGTGTTGGTTGAATTATAAGGTTTGAATATTTTACTTTTAAAACTTAAATTCGAATTTCACTGCCAATAATTTTTTTAATGGATAATCTGTAAATTCAATGTACATCCTGTCTAAAGCTTACGGTTTGTCTTAATCTTGAAATGAGAAAGTCTCTCCTCATCCTAAACTTATATATATATATATATATATATAATACTTTGTATATGACAAAAAGGGTAAAACAAATACTATAAAATTCAAATGATAGTAGCTGCTGAACCATAATTTGATTAACTAGGAGTGCTCTGACTGAACCAATTTTGTATACTTGTTTACACACTTTTGGAGAAGGTAACATATGTTGGGTGTTGTTCAAGTTGCCAGGCTTGTTGCTGCCGGCATTGATTTACACTTTGCAAATTCAGGTAATGGCAATGATCATTTTGATCTAGAGGCCAAGTAACCAATTCAAAACCAGGGTCCCTGTTATCTGTCAATGGCCAGGTTTTCTTGGAGGTTTATGGCAATACTTTTTATTTGGACATTATCCAATTCTTCACGTTTGTTTTTAACATGGGAATGTCGGTGGCAGCTCAGGAAATTTTGTTTTCCATTACCTTAGACATTACATAAATGTGTTTCAGATCAGATAATGGTTACTTTGCCATGCTTTTTAACCTTTTCTTTTCTGTCACGCTAACCTATTTTATTGACCAAGGGCACTTTTGATCGGTATAATGGCCTTTTAAGATAGCATTAGAGATTAACTTGACAATCTAAAATACGATTTTGTAATATGACACGAATATATTATTAAAAAAAACTACCAAAGTCAAAACGATTTATAATTTTATGTGAACACAAATTATAATATATAATTTTTATGTAAAATACAATATAAATATATGATATGAATTTTTACCTACAAGTTATATGATGCCATTAAAATATGATTTTTTACTTGAAATTTAATAATTTTAGACATGATATAAAAACAATATAAAAAAATAATACAGTTTAAAATTTTAATAAAAATTGTATATGGATTAGATAAAAACAAAAAAAAAAGTTTCATTTTTAGTATATCAACGAGAATTATAATTTGATAATTTTCATATTTTATATATGTTTAATATGAAAAAGACAAGATAAAATATACGAATTATCAAATTTATTAAATTGAAAATTAGAACATTCTTTTTTAGGTAATATAAACAATTTGGTAAGAATTTTAGGTATCCAAGTTGGAAGATCTTTGTGAAAGAATGTTTCTGGTGCGACCACAATGTGCCAAGTTTGGTCCAAGAAGCCCATGATTTCACTCGAAAGATACCAAGAGGTGGCTATTGTTTCCACCCCTACTTCAACAAACAAATTGATTGTTGCTTTCTCCTCACATAAATAACCCACTATATATATATATATTTTTTGATAGAACATAACCCCCTCTTAAGAAAGATGGTTTCAACCATTTCTTCTTCCATAATGTTCAAACTTTTAGGTCTAGCCTTTGCTTTTGATTCAGCTGGATGGCATTCCTTTTTAGACCTTTCTTTATCAAAATTTTTTATATAAATTAATAACTCGTAACATCTATATTTAAGTTAAAAAAAGATTCGAATTTTTTTTAATTATAATATACATATATCAATCATTAAATCAAATGTTCGATTTTATGTATACCTAATTCTAAACATTTAAAGATACAAGAAATTTATGCCAAGTTTTGTATTCCATAGATCAGTTTTTTGAATGAAGTATACCCAAGACTATAACTAAGGATTTTGAAACACAATCCTTCAAAATTTTTAAGTATTAAATGATACATAGAATGCTGCAAAATTGTTTAAATGCTTTCCTAAATATTTTAGTGATAGTTTCTTTAGAATAAAGTATGGAACCATTAAAAGATGTAAAAACAAATCCTTCATTTACTTGCTTTCCAAAAAAAAAAAAAATCATCATTTACTTTAAAACAGACTCCAAGGCACCCTTTAATTTACTTAAATATAATAATTACTAATTATCACCACTTAATCATCCTAAATGATTCAAAGATTAATCAACCAATCATCAAAACCAAACCATATTTCTTAACAGGATGGCATTTGCAGTGGAGCTGTTGGGAACAGTTGGCCTACAGCCACCACAACAAGAAGCTTCAAAATAAATAGATTTTTATCATGTCCACCATAGGTCTAACAGAATCACATGTAACACATAATTATAAATATAGTAACACATCTTGATTTGTCAAATCTATTAAAAGATGTCATACATTTTGATTTACCAAGTATATTAAAAAAATATCATATAAGACATTTTGATTTATTAAATCCATTAAAAGATGTCACATATGTTGATTTGTCAAATGTATTAAAAAAAATCATACATTTTGATTTGCAGGATTTATCAAAAATGAGATAAAAGGGTATATATTTAATAAAATTTCCCAAATTTTTTTTTTTTTTTTTAATTTGGTGTATTTCAATGAAAACCAAATTCAAACAAACAGAAAAATGATAAAATAGAAAAACAAGAAACTCCCCAACGGTCACGTTTTTAACCTTTTGCAAAAACAAGAAGCCTCTATTCTAACAACAAAAGACGTGCCACTATGGACCCAACGAATCTCTCTCTCTCTTTTCTTTCTTTCTCTTCCTTTGGTATCCCTCTGTTCCCTCCACAGATCTCGCAAACAAACACCAAGACGGACAGACAAAATAAACTCTGTTTTTTCTTTCCCCTGTTTCTCCTCTATTTTCTTCTTCCCTTCAACTCTGTTTTTGTCCTGTTTCTCTTTCTTTCTCTATGTTTCTCTCTTCTTTCCCAGATTGATTGCTTACCTTTTGGTATGATGTGGGGATGATTTCCCATTTTTGACCCAGACCTTTTTCTCTGATCTGGGTCAATCTTGGTTTCAAGATAAATGGGTTGTGTTCCCTCCAAACATGGTGGCAATGTGGTGGCAGCCTCCCCTGTTTCAGTGGTTCACAACAATAGCCATGGTTTGATATTTGCTTCTTCTACATCATTAAAACAACAATCTGGGAGGATAGAGATTGATAGAGATGATGAGAAATTGGATGAAAATGGCAAAACTATTAACCATGATCATCCTAAGAGAAGTCGAGAGTTGAGGAAATCAAAGAGGGGGAGTTCTAGTAGGAAGAATGGCTCTTTTAGCTTCAAATTAGGCTTTTCTCATAGGTTTGTGGAGGCGGAACAGGTTGCAGCCGGGTGGCCTGCTTGGCTTAGCTCAGCTGCTGGTGAAGCTGTACATGGTTGGGTGCCTCTGCAGGCTGATGCCTTTGAGAAACTGGACAAGGTAACCAAGATTTTTAAAATTCATAACTTTTTCCCGTCAAAATGACTTTGAAGTAGATTTTTTTAATCATGGTTTCAAATGAAGTGCATTATGTTATTTGAAATTGGTATGTTTAAGTGTCAATTGCTGCCAAAATTTGACGTCAATTATACACTTTGTATCCTTTTTTTTTTTTTTTCTGAGGATGATTGTTTCTCTTTTCTTAGTTTTCGAAACTAGGTGGTTAAGTGGTGTCATAATTTGGTCATTGTGTCAATCCTGATTTTGACAAGAATTCTTTTCAATCCCTAAAATATTCATTTAGATTGGACAAGGTACATACAGTAGCGTATTCCAAGCACGCGAAGTTGAAACTGGGAGGATGGTTGCCTTGAAGAAGGTGCGGTTTGACAACTTTCAACCAGAAAGCATTAGGTTTATGGCTCGAGAAATAACAATTCTACGCAGGCTTGATCATCCAAACATCATGAAATTGGACGGTGTAATCACATCTCGGTTTTCAAGTACTGTATACCTTGTATTTGAGTACATGGAGCATGATCTTGCTGGCCTATCTTCTTCTCCTGATCTCAAGTTCAGTGAGGCACAGGTTTGTTCTGTATCTTATGATCAAGTTTGAAAACACATACATTTTGGTTGTAGTTGACAGCCAAAGCATAATATTATGTTGTTTGATCATGATATGATCTTTTCTTCAATTCTTGGATGTTTGAGTTCAGTTTAGGTTCACCTTCATTTGTAGGTCAAGTGCTATATGAAGCAGCTATTATTGGGACTTGAGCATTGCCATTTGCGAGGCATAATGCATCGAGATATTAAAGCATCTAACATTTTGGTAAACAATCAAGGAATTCTGAAATTGGGGGATTTCGGATTGGCAAACATCCTTACTTCAAGGAACAGGCAACAATTAACTAGTCGAGTAGTAACTCTATGGTATCGCCCTCCTGAACTTTTGATGGGATCAACAAGTTATGAAGTCTCAGTGGATCTATGGAGTGTAGGCTGTGTTTTTGCAGAACTTCTTATGGGAAAGCCTATCCTTAAAGGGAGAACTGAGGTGATTGTTTTGTCATGTTGCATTACCCTCTTATATTATCCCAATTATTATTTTTTTTATTAAAAAAAAAAAAGCCACAGTCTGAAGATAAGAGAAGAGATTGCAGGTACCCGGATTTGAATCCAGATCTGCTAGATGCCATTGCTTAAGCTAAAACTACATAAATCAACTAAGCTAAGCTTTGGATTTATGTTATGTGAATTATTTGACATCACATTATATCAGGCAAACTTTTATTTTTGTTATGCTGAACTATTCAGATAAGCAGTGAAACAGAAATTCATATTGGTTTTCATTGTTTATTAATTGCCTTACACTTATATTTACTTGTTAGGTAGCTGAAGTAGATTGGTTTCTCCTCCATTTGGCAGGTTGAACAACTGCATAAAATTTTTAAGCTATGTGGCTCCCCACCTGATGATTACTGGAAAAAGATTAGGCTTCCTCATTCAACCATGTTTAAACCTCAGCATCCTTATGAAAGTTCTCTCCGAGAAAGGTGTAAAGATATAAGTGCAAGTGCAATGAACTTGTTAGAAGCTCTTCTTTCTGTAGAACCTCACAAACGTGGGACTGCCTCTTCATCACTGATGTCTGAGGTAATGCCACTAAACTGACTGCACTTCAGCTCAGGATGCAGCAATTTTTTCCAAAATATGAATGAAAATTCTTACATTATGACATGATTCTATCACTGTTCAAAAATTTTACTATGAGCTTAGTTTCCTGATTCCATGTTTATCTGTTACCTCTCGCAGTATTTCCACACAAAACCCTATGCCTGCGATCCGTCAAGCTTGCCAAAGTATTCACCTAACAAAGAAATTGATGCTAAACTGCGCGATGACTTGCGAAGGTAAAATTCTCACTCCTTGTTTTGAATGAGCCCAGGTCGTGTGACCTGTTAATAAAATACTAAATTTTTAATTCTAACAATTAGAATTTAAATTTTGATAACTTTTAAGTATAAAAAATTGTATGCTTATAATTACTAAATACTATCAGGAACAATGGAACTTTTGAGACTCAACTTATCCATAGGTTGTTATCAGTTCTGAAATTTGTTCATATGTAGCACCATATTCTGGAGCTGTAATGATATATCCATGTTTTTGATCCCATAGGGATGATCAATTTTTTTTCTCTGTTGGAGAATAACAAAGAGGTCAGAATTAAACAATGTCATGAATGTCCTTGAATTGAAATTGAATTATAATAAAATCTTTAATTTAATACTTAAAAACTTTTAACGTGATATTTAAATTATAAATATATTAATTAATATAATTATTAAATGATTATTTATCTAATGTCATCATTTAAAAGATGAACACCATATTAATTAACAAAATGTTCAAATATCATATTAATAATTTTTAAAATTTAAGTATCACGTTAAATGTTTCACAATAATTTAAAAATTATTTGTGACACTAATCTCTTGCGTTATTAGTCCTACCATTGAATGGTTATGCTTGAACCCTGGATGCAATATCTTTTATATATATATATATATATATATATATATATATATCTATATCTATGAACCAAGCAATTATGAAAAACAGGATGCTTGGATACTTTATTAGAATGATTCCCTCTATATGTATCTTTATTATTATAATTCAGGAAGAAATACGGATCTAGAATCCGAGATTCTGGAGTACCAAGAAAAACAAGAAGATCTCGTAAATCTTTGCAGGAAGCTAACAATTTCGGTAAAACAGTGCCAAAAGAGGTCTCTCTCTCTCTCTCTCTCTCAGCATGTACGTGTTCATATGTGGTGTTTGACAGAATGAGCTAACGATTAGGGACTTTCATATCTATGCAGGAACTGCTAGACAACACTCAATTTGCTGGTAAGAACCATGGTTTTAATGCAAACAATCCAAAGGGAAGAGAAGGTACTGCTCATAGAGGGCAGCTGAATTTGTCGTTTGATACAAGGTCAGAGACTTCTCAAGTTACAACTGTATCTCAAGGTGATATTTTCACAGCTCCACCACCAGTGGCAGGATCAAGCAGCTTTTCCTGGGCAAAGAAGAGAAAAGATTCCACAACATCTACACTTTCTTACAATCAGCCTTCTTCATTGTATCAGCTTAGTGATGCAGATTCATCCAGCTTCACCTTTTCAAATACTAACATCCTTAACTTAATAAAACATGAGAATCAAGATGTTCCTGAAGGTGTTTCTACCGATGCTCCCAGGGAGCAGAAACAGCAGATAACCGGATTGAACCAACTGGTGCAAAACAAGTTTGATAGGTCAGATATTTTTTATACAAGTGATGTGTTCCATCAGGAAGATGTAACTGCCACAAATAATAACATGGTAAGATCACCTTCAGCATCTGTAATTCTCATCAGTTTTTTCTTAGTTTTCACTCATGGCCATCTTCTTTTGCTTACTACTACAATTTATCTTGGTTTTCAACCATCAGGGAAAAGTTGGTTATTCAGGACCATTAGTCACGGAATCAGATAAAGTCGATGAACTCCTGCAATGGAATGAAAATCATATCCGGCAAGTAGCTCGAAGATCAAGGTTTTCATAAAGGTATGGCAAAGCCAAGTTTCTGCATTCCAGTTGTTATGGCTAATCACCAGGAAAAGTGATGAAAAAAATTTTTTTTGGCAGAGAATTCAAGCAAGGGTTTCTCTCTAGAAGAGGAAAATCCTTTGGCGTAGCTGAGATGCAAAGCAGGAAATTATTTATACAGGCTTTCAATGAAGGAAACAATGAACATAAAATTCATTGTCCTGTTCTTAACACTAAGCTCAAACAACACATATTCTTTGCTATCTTTGTCTTGCATTTTTAGCCCACATTATGAGCTCAAAATAAATTGTATCAAAAGAAAATTTTAAACATATTCAATACAGAGCTATGATTTAAAAAAAAAAAAAAAAAACCCCATAATTTTGCAGTTTTAAGCAAAATTTATTTTCCCTTAAAAAGTCAAGTATGCATAAAAATGGATCCAAAAAAAAAAAAGATCAACGAAAGAACAAATCACATAATTACTTTTTAACTAATATCCCCAACACACCCCAAAAAAAAACCCATTAAATTATCAAATAATTCCTCAAAACAAGATAAAAGATTTATTTATTTATTTTTAAAAGTACCCAAATGGCCATAAAACAAAAAGAAATTTGATTTTGGTTAATAAAATCAAAAAAAATGAAAAAGAATAGGAAAAAAAAAAAAGAAATGTAGGGCTATACCTTCGCTTTGGCTACAAGAACTAAAGCAGCAAAGCGGCCATGGCATCCCCCACAAAAAAAAAAAATTGTGTTAATATGCGCCTATCGCACTAGCGTGCGCCACGATGTATAAAGAACCTCTCTCCGTGGAATACCACGCCACCCCTTCTTTCGCGAGGGAAGCGCTCGGCCTTAGGCGCCCTTTCCTTCATTTCTCGTCTTCTTCCCTTTATATACATGTAATCCTTCAAACCCTAACCGTACTTTTCGCTTTTCCATTTTTACCATCATTGTTTTTTTAATTGACCTTTGTATCCTTGCCATGAAAAAGTTAGCCGCTAAATATATTTAAAAATTATTATTTTATAGTTTAGTTTTTGAATTTATTAAAATATTGTTTTGTGTTGTTTTTATTTAGTTTTATTTTATAATTATTTTAAATATATCTAATAAGATGTGTGATAAGTTTTTTTAACTTATATAAAATGCTTATAAAAATAAATAAACACTCATAAAATTATTATTTATTATTCTAAATCATTAATGAATAATTAGATCCTTAATGACATAATATTATTAAAAATGTTATTATCTAAGTTTTATTGAATTAGGAATGCAATTAGTCTAAAATATTAAAAGAGTCTATGAATTTTATCACTTTATTTAAGCAAGTTAATATATTTTTATTGTATCAAAATAAATTTTTTATTTTTTAATTTGTATCCAAGTATGTCTTTATTTGAAATAAAAAATTAATTTATGTTAACAATTATTTAAGTATAAATTAAAAAGTAAAAGGTTATTTGGATATAATTTAAAGTTTAAGAGTTTATTTGGGTGTAAAGATATAATCGAGTCGAGTTAAGTTGATGCAATAAAAAATTCGAACTTAAACTCGACTTAAAATTCGTTACTTAAAACTCAATTTAAATTTGATTGAATTTGAAATTTTAAGTTTGGCTCGAAATAAAAATCTAACAAGTCAAGTTCGCTAAATTAAGTTTATTTATCATATAAAAAAAGAGTTTGATTTTCATTCTTGACTTCAAACTTGAATATTTGTGTTTGAGTTTAAGCTCTAACTCGACTCGATAATGATTGAGTCAAATAGCATACAAATATTGATGTATAATTTATACTCTTGTTTGGATTTAAAGTAAATGTTAAAAACTTATTTACGTACAATAAAAATATAAAAACTTATTCAAATAAAGGTATAAAATTTAGAATTGTTTATAATTATTTTAGCCATATAATTATCAATGAGTAGATAGTTCAATGTTACTTGAGTCTAGCTTCAAAACTAAAAGTTTTGAGTTTAAATCCAAATAATAAATCTATAGACAAAAAAATTATAAATGGTAATTATTTTCTTAATTCTTAAAAAAAAAAGAGTTTTTTTTCAAATTGTCAACACTATTGAATTGTTTTTTAAAAAAGAAAAGTATTAATTAAAAGACCATCTTAATCAATATCAACAAGTGTCCTTAACATTGACAAAATAAAAAAATAAATAAATGAAAGTATAGCAGGAAGATGATATTTATATCATATTTTGAGAAAGTGAATTATTACATTATATAATATATGTGCAATATGTAAGTATTCAGAAAAAAAAATGAAATAACCATTTTAATAAGGAAAATGCATGGAAAATTTTTTTTTTGGTTGTAATCCTTCTATAGCTATATCAAGTGCTGGTAGGATTCTTTTCCCCTGGTTTTATGTGTTAAATCAGCTCGAATATTTGAGAAAATGGGGATTGTAAACCGTGAAACTAAAAAAAAAAAAAAAAACTTTCTATTCTCTGAGATTACTGCCCTTATCTTTTCTTCATGCCAGGCTCTGCAAGACTCACTAGCTAGGTAACTAAAACGTCTTAAAGAAGTTTGATTTTGCTTATTTTATTTGCTTTATGTCAACAATTCAGAATTTGATTCTAAATTTGAGATGGTTTTCATTGATTTGTATTGAAAAAAAAAAAGAAAAAAAAATAATGGGAGAACTTCCAGAGAGATATATTTGATTATTCACACTCAGCTTTTTTCTTATGGGACTGAACAATATTCACCCATCCAAAACAGAACAGCAAATCCCTGCCACAGCCAGAATGAATATAGGTTTAGATTTAATGATTAAAGAGAGAAATAATAGAAACTTGATGCTTTCACCAACACAACATTACAATGAATAGGGGATGTATTAGGAAAAAATATTCACCTATCTTACCAGCTACAACAATGCACCTCTCTTCTCGTATTTTCATTTATATCAACTCAAAACCCTAACTTCATTACAAGGAATGTCACTGGAGAAGGATTCTACATTCAGCTGAAAGAATTGGATTCATGGGTAGTGATGTAGGAGGGGCTCACACTTTAACCTCAGAAAAATAAGTTGACGAGACATTCAACCCCTCTGAATCATAAGTAGGAACCAGAGTATCTCTCTTACTAGGTGCCTTTGGCTAAGAGAACCCTAAATGGAATGACCTGGATTCAGCTACACTTTTTGTAATATTAGAAATGTATCCTATAGGTAATAATGTCGACTGATATGCCTCTTCAAATTTGTTAGTATGGTGTTATCTCCATCTAATAAATATCAAATATTTTATAATTTTATATTAAAATTGAGTTTTATTTGTGTTGAGCTCTGACCTCATGACGTTCTTGAAAAAATAAAAAAGAAGGACGGTGAGAGGCAACACAAGATGTGCTCTTTATATTTGCACTCTAACATGTAAGTCAGATAGAATGAGGTTAGGAAGGAAGTAGAAACAAAAAAATAGGTCTAGGATCAACTTACTTTAGTGGTGCCTAGACCTTCATATTTATAGGTGAGTAATATGAGACCATCAGGGGACAATAAAAACAGTATGGAATTGATATGACATTGAACATGTCAGACCGGTTTGACATGTTAAGTTAGTACAAATGATAGAAATACCCTTACTTGTTTGCTAAAGGCTTTTAAGAAAGAAAAAGACCACCATGCCCCTTTTTACCATTAAATGCTCCTAACATTTTGTCTATTTGCCAAGCAGTCTGAGTATTAGGCTACTGGATGTTTAATCAATGCATCTGATGTAAGATCTGTGGAAAAAAAATAAATTGAAATTTGATTCTTCGAGGCCGACATCACGAAAGAGGTCAATACTGAAGATAAATAATCTTAAGCCATGGTCTAATTTAGTGAGGATTTGATCTTGCGCTTATGCCTTAAGTTGGGTGCACGGCCAGCTTGAAGGTTGTCGAGGTGTAAATTATTCGAAGTGATTCAAAATTAGTGGTGAAGATCGTCTAGTTGATGTAAGACTTGTGCTTTATTTTAGGGGTTTGAGTTTGGGCCTTTACTTCGAATTCTAGCAACAAGTTGGGCATCCAATCTATTCTAAAGAGTTGTTCGATCTAGCCTATCCATGCTAAAGTTTATCTGGTCTGGCTAGTCTAATAACATTAAATGAGAAAAGAGGTAGTTTGAATGAAAAAATTCGGATAGGGAAGATGGAGAGACATCTACCTATTTTCACTCTGACACATGGCATGATCTGTGTCGTTTCTCTGATCTATCTCACGGCTATATAAAGAGATGTTGGGGCTCCAATTTTCCAAATTTTTACTTTCTTTGCTCTCGACTCAATCTGAACTTTTCATTTTTAAAAGTTTTTCAATCTTAGAGTTTTTTTACATTTTTTTCGATACGTATTGTTAACTATGTCTTTTAGTGTAAGTTCTAAGAAGGTCAAGAGTTATCGAGTATAACCTAGATAAGTTCAATGTGGGTAAGATGATGACGATTTGATTCCACCATTCATCAAGAACCGTAATTGTGAAAAGATGGCTTCTGGTTTAATCCAATGTTTGAGAAAGGGCAACAGTGAAATGAAGAAAATGCTTGGGCAAGAGGGAAACGTGTCTTAAGCACGGAGGAGCAACGTGCTCAGATAGACTTTGACCTATAAAATCCATCATCTTTCTTTATCTCTTAGGTCGATCCATTTTTATGGTCGACTTTCCTTCATCTTTGGTTATTCCCCTTTTGGGGATTTGATCACATTAATTTTCTTTTACTTCTACTCTTCCCCCCATCAATGCTCCCATTGTTACTTCTATTCTACCCTAATCAATTCTTGTTAAGATCTTTTCTTCTCCTGAGGGGTCTCCACCCTGTCCCTTTTCCCTCGAAATTAAATTGTTCTTAGCTACAATTCTATCTCTAAATCTTGATCCTTCTCACGAGTCAAAGTTTTTTTACGATGAAGATTTTGAGGAAAAAGGTTCCAAAAAGAAACAAGAAGAAGAAAGTACCTCAACTAAAAAAATAGCGATAAGGAAAGGAGTTCTGTGAAACAGGACGAACTGATCGAGATCTCTATATATACTATCTGTGACCTTGGTATGATCCTCAAAGAGTTGATGAGTGAACTAAAAGGCAAGGTAAATCTTGAAGACTATTCGAACATGTGTTCAACTCATCATGTCTTTTTTTTAAGAATGACTTTTTTTTTTCCTAGAGAGGTATAATATAATAATGACGAACTCTTCAGATCAGGTCATTGATAAACTTGAACCATATTGGCCCTATGTATATTGGGATTCTTTTGTAGCCGGTTTGAGGTTTCCACTTCATTTTTTATCTGTTTTAATTTTAATTCTTATAATTTAACTATCTCTCAGTTCACTCCAAACTCTATATAGTATATAGTTACTTTCATCATTTTTTATTAGTATTTAAACATTTTTCCTTCTCTTTCCCTATTCAAGAAACTTTTTTCTCTTAAAAAAT